GACTATAGACTAGGACTCTATGGACTAGGACTATAGACTAGACTATAGACTAGACTATAGGACTAGACTACTAGGACTAGGACTATAGACTAGACTATAGGACTAGACTATAGACTAGACTATAGACTAGACTATAGACTAGACTATTAGACTAGACTATAGACTAGACTATAGACTAGACTATAGACTAGACTATAGACTAGACTATAGACTAGACTATAGACTAGACTATAGACTAGACTATAGGACTAGACTATAGACTAGACTATAGACTAGACCTATAGACTAGACTATAGACTAGACTATAGACTAGACTATAGACTAGGACTATAGACTAGACTATAGACTAGACTATAGACCCTAGACTATAGACTAGACTATAGACTAGACTATAGACTAGACTATGACACGACTAGACTATAGACTAGACTATAGACTAGACTATAGACTAGACTATAGACTAGACTATAGACTAGACATAGACTAGACTATAGACTAGACTATAGACAGACTATAGACTAGACTATAGACTAGACTATAGACTAGACTATAGACTAGACTATAGACTAGACTATAGACTAGACTATAGACTAGACTATAGACTAGACTATAGACTAGACTATAGACTAGACTATAGACTAGACTATAGACTAGACTATAGACTAGACTATAGACTAGACTATAGACTAGACTATAGACTAGACTATAGACTAGACTATAGACTAGACTATAGACTAGACTATAGACTAGACTATAGACTAGACTATAGACTAGACTATAGACTAGACTATAGACTAGACTATAGACTAGACTATAGACTAGACTATAGACTAGACTATAGACTAGACTATAGACTAGACTATAGACTAGACTATAGACTAGACTATAGACTAGACTATAGACTAGACTATAGACTAGACTATAGACTAGACTATAGACTAGACTATAGACTAGACTATAGACTAGACTATAGACTAGACTAGACTAGACTATAGACTAGACTATAGACTAGACTATAGACTAGACTATAGACTAGACTATAGACTAGACTATAGACTAGGACTATAGACTAGACTATAGACTAGACTATAGACTAGACTATAGACTAGACTATAGACTAGACTATAGGACTAGACTATAGACTAGACTATAGACTAGAACTATAGACTAGACTATAGACGTAAGACTATAGGACTAGACTATGACTAGACTATAGACTAGACTATAGACTAGGACTATAGACTAGACTATAGACTAGGGACTATAGACTAGGACTATAGACTAGACTATAGACTAGACTATCGACTAGACTATAGACTAGACCTATAGACTAGACTATAGGACTAGACCTATAGAACTAGGACTATAGACTAGACTATAGACTAGACTATAGACTAGACATCTAGACTAGACTATAGGACTAGACTATAGACTAGACTATAGACTAGGACTATTGACTAGTCCTATAGACTAGACTATAGACTATAGACCTAGTCTAAATAGACAGACTATAGACTAGACTATAGACTAGACTATAGACTAGGAATATAGACTAGACCTATAGACTAGACTATAGACTAGACTATAGACTAGACTATAGACTAGACTATAGACTAGACTATAGACTAAGACTAGACTATAGATTAGATCATAGTTTACATACTGATTTATTGACTACTATATGGACTATTTATCAAAAGTTTATAAGTTAGAAAAAGTACGAAAAATCGTAGGAATATCGCGGTATTTTACGATATAAAAAATATTAAAAAATTACTAAAGAACTACTGTTTCCTACCCAATGTTGGTTTCTCCTTGTCGTGTTTTAATCAAAGACTTTATTCCGACAATATTATTAAATCCAGCTTACGGAAAATAAAATATTAGACAAGAATTAGATTTTTCTAACTTTACTACAAGAAAATGCATTCAAAATTTTGCAGAATTTAAACAAAAGGATGTAATAACGTTATAAATAAATAAAAAATGTAAATAAAAAAAATAAATATCTTACTGTGTACGAAAATTTTTTAAAGCCACTGTTTTTATTATTAAATTATTTTAAGGTTGAAGGAGTTGAGTGATGATGAGTGTAAATAAATAAAGTGTAGAGACAACAATTTTTTGTTATTTGTTTTTTTTTTTTTGTTACAACAACTAGGTAGGTATAAACACTTTTGTTGTTATATTGATTGAAATATTGCAAATGTGAATACACTTTTTTAAGTTTCTACTTCAACTGATATTTCTTTTTAATTATTTTATTCTTCACTAAAACAATACAAGTAATTAAACTTTCACTGGGTTTAATAAAAAAGACTACACAATTATTATTATAGATTTTAAATTTTTTTATTAAACATCAGGCAGACACTATTTCAAAACCACATTAATTGTAATGCACTGACCACCTTACTACAAACAAACAAACAAACAACATTAAATTGGTAATGAAAAATGATGAATCATTACTTTTTTACAAATAACTTCACTTGCCTTTTTTTATAAAATGAAACAATTGTTTTTTTTTAAATTTTACGTTTATTAAAGGGTTTTTATGTGTATTTTATATAGAATTTCAAGAACTTTCTGTCATTAAATTATTTTTATGTTTGAAAGATGAAAAAAAATCTCCCGAAATTTAATGTCTGCCGCTTTTTTAATGTTTTTTTCCCGAACAGAAAGCAAACACACGTATTTACTGTAGTATAGTTGTCCAATAACTAAAATTATTTTTTTCTTTTCATTCTTCTTTTGTTATACGTTTGTGTTTGTTGCTTTTGTTTTGCAAAGTCAACTTATATTTGTTGTTACAACAAATACAAAATAAGGAAAATTCACATAAAAAAAACAAGTTGTTTACAAATTTAAAAGAGAGGAAATGTAAATAATGTACAGGGCTGGTAAATTCTAAACAATAGAACTTTATAGAAGGTTTTGAAAATAACGGTAATATTTTTAAATTGTTTGGCTATAAATCAATTTAAATAACAAGAAAAGGAGGCATGTTTCTAGTACTCTATATAATTGAATCAAAAAGTCAACTTTTCAACATTTTGCAATTTATTTTTCAATTATTTTTTTAATATCGAGTTTCTTCTACCATGATACTTCGACTTCATTCACAAGATAATCGATTGTAATGATATTGTTAGGACAAAATAATCGACTGTTCGAAAGTCGTTCGACAAGGATTCTATTATTTTGCATTCTTCCTGATAAGAACTAAAATATTGCATTCTTCCTGATAAGAACTAAAATATTGCTTCTTAATAAAGTAAATTTTCCATCCCTGATTAGTATAAGAGATTGTTTTTGTCAGGCAAAAAGTGTTGCCGTATTTAGTCTAAAAAATTGATTTCTATAGGAAATCTTGATTATGATTCTTGATAGATAGATAGATAGATAGATAGATAGATAGATAGATAGATAGATAGATAGATAGATAGATAGACAGATAGATAGAAGATAGATAGATAGATAGATAGATAGATAGATAGATAGATAGATAGATAGATAGATAGATAGATAGATAGATAGATAGATAGATAGATAGATAGATAGATAGATAGATAGATAGATAGATAAGATAGATAGATAGATAGATAGATAGATAGATAGATAGATAGATAGATAGATAGATAGATAGATAGATAGATAGATAGATAGATAGATAGATAGATAGATAGATAGATAGATAGATAGATAGATAGATAGATAGATAGATAGATAGATAGATAGATAGATAGATAGATAGATAGATAGATAGATAGATAGATAGATAGATAGATAGATAGATAGATAGATAGATAGATAGATAGATAGATAGATAGATAGATAGATAGATAGATAGATAGATAGATAGATAGATAGATAGATAGATAGATAGATAGATAGATAGATAGATAGATAGATAGATAGATAGATAGATAGATAGATAGATAGATAGATAGATAGATAGATAGATAGATAGATAGATAGATAGATAGATAGATAGATAGATAGATAGATAGATAGATAGATAGATAGATAGATAGATAGATAGATAGATAGATAGATAGATAGATAGATAGATAGATAGATAGATAGATAGATAGATAGATAGATAGATAGATAGATAGATAGATAGATAGATAGATAGATAGATAGATTAGATAGATAGATAGATAGATAGATAGATAGATAGATAGATAGATAGATAGATAGATAGATAGATAGATAGATAGATAGATAGATAGATAGATAGATAGATAGATAGATAGATAGATAGATAGATAGATAGATAGATAGATAGATAGGTAGATAGATAGATAGATAGATAGATAGATAGATAGATAGATAGATAGATAGATAGATAGATAGATAGATAGATAGATAGATAGATAGATAGATAGATAGATAACTTGATTTCTACAGAAACCTGAATCCTATGGGAAATCTTGATTTCTATAGGAAATTATTTTTCTCTTTGATTTTCCATAGGGAATCATGATTTCTATAGAGTATATTTTTTGAGTGATTGATTTCTGTAGAAATCTTGAGCTCCTTCTTAAACTATCGAGTCTTCTTAAACATCTTGAGCTAACATCTGCTTTGTATATGAAAACTTAAGCTAGCGATGATTTCTATAATAAATCTTAAGCTAACGATTGGTTTCTATAAAAAACTGGATCTAGATGTTGATTTCTATCGATTTCTAGAGTGTAATAACTCTTGAGTTATCAATTGATTTCAATAGGAAATTTTGAGCTAGCGTTTCATTTCTATAGAAAACCTTTTAACATGTGTGTTCACATTATTATGCTGTAATATAATTCCCCAGCCCACATTAAAACAATGCAGACTTTGTTCTATTACGTTGTTCCGTATTTTTTTTATTGAGTACAAAAATTAAAAACATTTTTAAGTAGGATGTTGTTGTTGTTTGTTGACAAGAATTGACCATTTTTATAGCCACCTTAGAGACACATGTGTGTCTATAACTGTAATTGTAAATAGAATTAATATGCACTGTAATAATATTTATTCTAACATAATACATATTCATGGAAATGTCTACATATATACTCAACTACGCAAAATATATGCAGACGTATAAAATTTAAATATTTTTAAATGTGTAAAAATAGTTTTACTAATGTAAAAAGTAAACAACTTACTGCGTTGATATAATATTGCGCATTTGTCGAACAGCCGTTACCAGACGTGGTTCACAGCCAGCACTTAAAGCCAAATAGTTTTCGGGAGATGCTTTTAGCAAAGTTAGAATTTGGGTAAGCGAAGTATTAAGAGTTAAACCCAATTCATCTACAACACTTGCCAGATATTCAATATCCACGGACAATTGTTTAGAAGCTGAACTTGTTAGGGATTTGATTTGCAAAATTTGTGATTGATATAAAACACAACATTGAGCCACTACTAGAGATAGTAAAATATCAGCACTTGGTATGGGTTGGGAATATTTAATGTGACACATTTCCAAGGCCTGTTTGAGGAGTGTTGAAGGTGACAGTAGTAAAGGTTCCAAATGTTGTGGTAATGTTAGTAAATATTGGCCTATTTGTGTTATACTTTCTTGTGGGGCAAAACTAAAGGCAGGCATATCCTGCACATGTCCCTGGGATAATTCTGTTGGTGGCTGTATTTTCGAGAGATGTGAATCCAAAGGTTGTAAAAGTATGTTTAGAGTTATATCATGAGTTTCAATAAAATGTGTTTTCAAAGCATCGTATATATTGGCAAATATACCCACGGAAGCAGAGCTAGCATCTTGATTCGTTTCCAAACGTTTTTGCTGAAACTCGGCGATCGAGTTTAGAATACGTTGCTGTTCTGCCGACTCAAAAGTTTGATAAATATTTATATTGGACAATTGATTTTCCTTTAATTTAAGCTCCAAAGTTGTTAAACGTTCCTGCAATGTTTTCTCAAATTTTTGTAATTTCTGCTGGAAATCAGCCAAACATTCTAGCAAAGCCAGTGTATATTGCAACATAGACCAATTGCTATCAGTGTTGGGGTTATTTGCAGAATTTCCCAAATTAAGAGAAAGTTGTCTTTGGGTTTTAGAGAATTGTTCCATTAACGTTTAAATATACCACCCAGTAAATTGATCAGCTTGCAGAGGGCCAAATCACTGGTAATATTTGAACATCTGTTAAGGGATTCATGTAACCAAGTGAAAAGTTTACTGGTTATATCCTTCAAATGGCGTACAGCATCACTGGCATGAGGCTGAGTAGTCAAAACCCGATCCACTTGAGTAGAAAGTTGTGTCTCTTCAAGCCTGGGATATTGCTGTATGAATTTATGGAAATATTCATAGATGGAGAGACCCAATTGCTGTTTTAACTCTTTGCTTAAATGAATCGAAGACTGTTCCATATAAGCATTCAATTGCAAAACAAAATTATGATTTGCTTGGGCAAATAGTTGCAGCAAATCCAAACGTTCATTGCAAGTTTTTAGCAGTTGTAATATGTGATTATCTCGCGTAGGTTGCAGGGCTGGCAAGAGTTCAGCTAGCAAAACAAATGGCTGCTGTTGAGCATCTTCATCCTCGAATACCTGTGAACACCATTTCACCTGTCGTTGACAATTTTCCAGCAATTGATCATAGAAGAGAGTAAGAAAATGTTGTTGTTGACTGGCCGTTTCAGTTGCTTGCAATTCCAAGGTCTGTTTCCATTGCTGCTGGAGAGCAGTTTTCTGTACAGCACGATAGTATTGCAGTAGTTGGGGTTTTCTTTGTATTGCTGCAAAAATGCTGACATAACGTTGAGCCTGCTCTATGCCTCCTTCGGCAAAGCACTGTACAACATTTGGTGAGGCCAATGCTTCGAGACGATTCTTGAAGTCTTCAACTTGTGAGTGGCGATCGGAATGGCCGGGTAGTTGCTCTTGGGCTTGTAAACTTTTTTGTAAAGCTGATATTTTGTCGCAAACACTCTGAAAAGGGATGTTTGGAATAGAATTTCGACAAATTTTTTGTATATGTATATGGAAAATGTTCGATATATTTTTTTCTTTTTAAGGAAAATTTTCGATAAATTTTACCTTTTTGTAGAAAATTTATCGATAAATTTTGACTTTTGTAGAAAATGTTTGAAAAATTTTCTTTTTATAGAATTTTTTCGATAAATTGTTGCTTTTAATAGAAAAAATTCTATAAGTTATTGCTTTTTATAAAAAAATTTCGTTAAAATGTCTTTTATAGAAAAATATCTTTTAATTTTCTATTTTTAAAGAAAATTTTCCTAATTTTTGAAAATATTTACCAAATCCTTACCTTCAAATCATTCCTCTCAAAACTATCCTCCAACTCGGCTATTAAATTACCCCAACCATCGGATTCTTGCAGTGACTCCTTTGCTGTCTGCAACTTTGTTTGCATTGTATTCAAACGTTCCAACGTAGCCATGCATTCACCAGTTTCCTCTTGCACTGCGGCCACTTCTTGACGCATAATCAACATTCGCTGTTGTAATTCCTTGACATCATTGTGGAGATTTTTAGCATCTTTAACTACTCGGGGCATACTGGCCACCAATTGTTGACTACTCTCTTCGATGGCATAGTTCACTTGTTGGACGTACAATTGCAGTTTGGAAACATAATTGTTAATAAATTCTACTGCTAACTCCGTATCACCACCGGTGTTGGTTTCCACAGCTTTGGAAGTTTTTACATCATCCCCTGCGAATTTTTTAAAATTATCATTAATCCAATTGACTGCATCAAATTTGTCTTCGGATAAAGCAGAAATATCCATTTTTATTTAAATTTATTACAATTAAAACATTTAAAAGAAAATTTTGTTGTGAAAACAAATTGATGATGTTGGAATTAGTTTTGTTTTCAATTTTTTGCTTTTGTTCTAAAAACACTATAAAAACGTCATCAACAGCTGTTAACAACACAGTGTTGTATTTACAAAAGAATGTACTAATAGTAATAAAATAAGTTGACATCACTATTTTATATACGAGAAACCCTAGACAACAACCTGTTAATATAATATGATTCTGTTAAGAACAGAATCACAGGTAAATTCTGTTAAGAACAGAATCACAGGTATATTCCACAGTTCCTAGCAGATTTCTAAAGAATTTCTATTATTAAAGAATATTTTTTTATTAGTTCAAAAAATCAAACGTAAAATTATTTGCGAAAAATTTCAAATATCTGTTAAAGTTTAAAATGTTTCAGGTTTTTTACAAGTTGACGAATATTGTACATCAATGGCAGGGATTTTTGAAGTTGTTGCATATTTTGGTTGCAGTTTCGCATAATTATTCATTTTGCGATTAAAATTTAAGCAAATTAGTTCCTAAAAGGGAAAATTTTTAATATTTCCGAAATACTTTTTCAGATATAGACATACATACCTGCAGGGATTTTGATGGTTTATTAGTTTGATTTTATATTTTCCAAATAAATCTCGTATAAAATCGGATGGATTCGCTAGCCGAAGCTAGAAAGATTACAAAATAAACAATAATTATGGAAAAATGTCGTTGAATTTTATTTTTTTTTTTAAACTTTCAAAAAATTTTTTATTTTTATAGAAAATTATCGAAAAGATTTTTTTTTAGAAAATTATCAATAAGTATTCCTTTTTATGGACAATTTTCGATAAATTTTGTTTTTCTAGAAAATGTTTCATAAATATTCGATATTGATAGAAAATTTTCTATATATTTATAGAAGATTATCGATAAATTTTCTCTACTTTTAGAAATGATCGATAAATCATCTGTATTTATAGAAAATTTAGGAAAATTTTCTATACATATAGAAATTATCGATAAATTTACTATTTTTATAGAATATTTTCGATAAATTTATTATTTTTATACAATTTTTCGATAAATTCACAAATTTTCTAGAAAATTTCGATAAATACACAAGTTTTTAAAAAATATTTTATTTTTCTAGAAAATTTTTGATAAATTTTAAATTTTTATATTATTTTTCGATAAATTTTCACTTCATATAGAAAATTTTCGATATATTTATTATTTTTATGGAAAATTTCTATAAATTTACTATTTCTATAGAAAATTATCGATAAAATTTACTATTTTTATAGAAAATTGTGGATATATTAACTGTTTTAATCAAAATTTGCAATAAATTTACTATTATTCGATTTTTATAGAAAATTATCGACAAATTTGCTATTTTTATTGAAAATTTATACTGTTTTTATAAAAATTTATCGATTAATTTCCTATTTTTAAAAATGTGAGATATATTTATGAAAAAAATTTACTATTTTTCGATTTTTATAGAAAATTTTCTATAAACTTATTATTTTTGTACAAAATTTTATAGAAAATTGTCTATAAATTTTCTATTTTTATAGAAATTTTCGATAAATTTTCTATTTTTATAGGAAATTGTCTATAAATGTTCTATTTTTATTGAAAATTTTCGATAAGTTGTCTATTTTTATTGAAAATTTTCGATAAGTTGTCTATTTTTATAGAAAATTTTCGATAAGTTTTCTATTTTTATAGAAAATTTTCGATAAGTTTTCTATTTTTATAGAAAATTTTCGATAAGTTTTCTATTTTTATAGAAAATTTTCGATAAATTTTCTATTTTTATAGAAAATTTTCGATAAATTTTCTATTTTTATAGAAAGGTTTCGATAAATTTTCTATTTTTATAGAAAGGTTTCGATAAATTTTCTATTTTTATAGAAAGGTTTCGATAAATTTTTTATTTTTATAGAAAAGTTTCAAT